TATTGGCGTTAAGACGCGTCGATTGATACCACGCTCGAACTTTTTCCGTCCATTTTGACCTACCTTCGCCAAAGTGCACTACTACCAATTATAGTTGAGAAAAAGACACGCGAGAAAGTACACGCGAAGGATTTCACAAAAATGTATTGAAATATTAGTATTTTTGAAAACTGCCATTTGGGCACTAAGTGCCAAATTGAAAAATTAAGTGCCATTTGATGTAAAATAGGGCCAAAAATGGCACGGTTTGAGCAAAGTTGGCAGCCCTGACGTAGTTTTAAAATTAAAAAATAATCGAAAAGAATCGATAACTATGTAATAGCTATTCAATGTGGCACCACCGTTCCGCTGGCACTTTGTTTTTACTCTGTCAACGCCATCCGTCTAGTAACAGCTGTTCCAATAAAAATTCATTTTGTTTACAAATCCCGCATTTGTAGAGTCGAAATAGAAATTGCAAATTATTACAATAAAATAGGGTAAGTAAGTGATTTAATGTGTATGTGTTTCCTGGTTGAATATTTTCAGTTTCAGACCCGTTACAACAATGAGCGAATCTGTAAAGGAAGGCGCCAACAATAATGAATCGAAGCACAGTGAAGGCATTCCAGTGTTTAAAGTTGACCAGGCAACAACGCGAAATGAAAACGAAAAGGAAAAATTAATTGAGGAAGTACATGCTGAAAAGGAAAATGACGCTTCACAAAACGAGGAATCAACATTTAACAAGTCTTTTGACCCGACACAGCAGAGTACTCCAGAGAAGGAAACCTTTGTGATGCTTGATATGGTCGAAGGGAACGAAAATGTTGAGCCAGACGAGCCCGACGTTTCAAGCGATCTACCCTTGCGGAGTTCAGATGAGATTCCGGATATTACCGAAGAAACAAAACAAAATACGGAACCAGACGAGGAAGTACCATTTGAGGAACCAACAACACATAATATATATGACGTAGCCCAACCTGCTGAATCAGTTAATAAAAAGGCAGAAGTAAAAGCTAGTGTTGAAGTGCCTGATAAGTCAACAATGCATATTGTTGAAGAGATTAAGGAATCGAAAGATGTACCGGAGATTACCGATATTGGGAAAACAAATGAAAAGGCTGAGCCTATTAAGGACCCGATTGTTCCTCCAGAAATCAGCGAAGATGTTAGTATAAGTGATATACACACTAAAAATAAAGAATCATCAATTAACAAGCTAAATAAGGAGACTGCATGTGGCACTCCAGCCGTTGATCATGAAATCAGCGATGAAGCACGTAAAGATGAAGAATTAACAACATGTGGGAAAGAGCGCAATGAGCCTACAAAAGATTGTACAGTGGAAGTTAAAACAAATGAAACACGGGGATCAGGTGAAAAAGTTCTATTGTGCGAGGCCAATGATATGAGGGAATGCGTTCCCGCTGTAGGTGCGAATTTTATAGTTGAAGATGAAGTCACAGAAAGAGAAACAGAACTTTTAAAAATTGTACCGCGGGATATCATGAAGCGAAGTCATTTGGTAGTCGAAAATGAGGATAATGATGATGGCGCAACTTCTAAGAAACCGCGAAAATTGTATACTGTGCTGAAACCCCCAAAGGACGATGAACCAGATTTGTACACACTTGAAATCACAAAACGTATAAAACAGCAATTACCGCCATCTATTAGTGTAACTCTAAAAAAACCAACTGATTTAGAAAGTAATGGCGATATCCCAAAAGAGAAAAATACCAAGTCACATACAACATTTCAAGGGAGTATTTTAGAAAAGAAGTTGCCGCTGCCGAGCAATCACACATATGTTCAGTCAGCTACATCCAAAAGTTCAATAACTGATGCGCTTCTACCACCAATAGCCCCAATTTCTATTCCAGTTACACAAATTCCAGGGAGTCCCTATAATAGCTTAATTTGCACGTCTGTTGCTTCTAAATCAAGTTCCATCCTTAACTCGACGGATTCAAATAAAAACTCCATCATTCCCGCCGTAATTACAACAAAACCTAAAATCACAATTTTGAACCCAAATCCAGCAATTCCTTCCACAATCAAATCCGTGAAGGTCATCCCACGAAATTGTACGGTTTTTCCAATGAAGTCGTCAAACTCATCCAATGACAATAAGGCACTTATAACTTCGATAAAAATTCTTCCCCCAAATCCAGCACTTCTCAAAGTAGCATCCAACGCGGATCCTAACAAAGAATCAGTAGCAACAACTATGTTACCTACCACCATTGACAACAAAAAGGATGTAGCCACAACGCCTGACAACAATACCGGCGCCTTAGACTATATCCCAACGTTGCGTCGCGAAGAAGAACAAAATCATATCGATTCAGATACAATGCCGACTTTTACGCAAACGTACCTAAAATCTCTTTCAGAATATATACGTGAAGCAAGAGCTTACAATGCAGCCACCGTCGGAAAAAAGAACGAAAACGATAGAAACAACAAGGTGTTGGAAAGTGTCGCAGCAACCTCCGAGGATATTGAATCAGATTTGGTTACATATGAAATCTTCGATAAGGGGTATGATGATACTACTTGTAATGTTAATACCGAACGTCGGCACATGAGCACACAAACAAAAGATAGCATTACTAATATTTTGAGTAAAATTGCGGCATTGAAAGAAAAGACGAATCAACAAGCCGAAGATATCTTGTCGCTCAAGGCAGCTATGAAACTGCTAAATTCAAAAACTGAAGTCAAAAAGACTTGATTCAGCCATTGTGTTTTATATATATAAAGCTATTTTTAATATAGGAAGTAAATAAATATTTAAAAAATATCTACCATGATACAAAAATAGTATCGTGATTTCTACTATAAAAATTAAACGTTGATTTCATTTTGAAACTTTTATATTTTTCAATTCGAATAGCTCTCAATCTAAAAATAATTTAATGTAATTTACAAAAGTTAATAAAAGATGAATTCAAGTAATTTGTAATTAAGATGGAATAAATTAAATGAATGTAAGCTATTGAGTGGAGTGTTATGCGCATTTGTATACATATATACATGTATGTGAGAAATGCACCTTTTGATAAGGAAATCAAGTGTAACTACTTAAAAAATAGCCCAACTTTCTGGCTACTGCAGCAGGTTAAACTCATACCTGAACAGACTAAATGCGAATGTGCCGAATGAGTATCCGGCATGCGGAGAGACACCGCATGACTCGAAGCATCTCTTGGTATGCCCGGAAAACCCAACAACCCTAACGCCTTTGTCCCTGTGGACCGACCCCATTGAGGTTGCACGCTTCTTAGGGCTGCCGTTAGTGGAACTTGACGACAACGACTTAGGGCCTGTGCCAATTGATAGAAAAGTTCTATGGTGGAAAAACTTTTTACTATGGTGAGAAAATTTTACATTTCTGCTGTGCCAATTCGTAACTTTTTACTGCTGGAAATTTTTGACAGTTGCTTTGATGCACAAGAAGACTATCGAGTTTGCAATTTATAAAATGCAGCAATTATATAGAAAATATTTGCCTTTGATGATTTCAATTCTTCTGGAACTGAAATCCATGCATTTATTAGACCTTTTAGCAGTAATATTAGAAATAAAAACACGTCAAAACCGTCTGGTAAGTGTGTTCACAAAAATGTTTAAAACCGTGTACAATTGTTTCCAATAAAAACATATGTCGTTTTAGGGTATTATGTACATGCAACAAGACGTTTATTCCAAAATACTAAGCAGCATTATGAACGGCGATAACAAGACTACAAAAATGTATCTTAGGTTGTCCTCTGCTTCGTTTCGAAAAATTGTAACTCACATTCCCAAAAAGCGCCACGGATGGTCAGTGGAGTACGAAGTCATTTGCTTAATAAAGTCTTCAAATTATTTATATTGTTCTTACTCACTTCCAGCCTTCGTTGCTGTTGGCGTTCTTTGAACTGAACCAAACATCCTTGTCAATGCGCTTTTCCAGAAGGATTCTGCGTTCTGAACTGCTCCCTGTAAAATAGTATTTTTAATTAAAAAAATACATAACGCCTTTTCATATGTAAATCTGAAATTAAATCTTACAAGTTATATAGCTTTTCTTTATTTTTTTTGCCGGCGGGACCATGTTCTTTTATTTCCACTCGCTTTTGTTTTCTTTAATTTATGTGTATACGTGCGTTGTTCGTTCTTCTTCTTGATAATGCTTGCTGTCAAATTTTTCACTAGCCCTGCCGTATCAAACATTTTTATTCACCTCATAGCTGTCAAAAATTTACTATCCAGAGAACTTTTCTATCAATTGGCACAGGCCCTTAGATATCAACCGATCTGGGCGGGGTTGTTGTAGCCGCTACAACAACAACAACAACTTAAAAAATGTTAGCAACAGGTAATTTATTAAGAGGATACCTACCTGATCACCTCACCAAGTTTCATTAGTTAATTCCACCTGGTTTTCTTAAAACAAAGAGTGCGGCTGCATACTAAATTCCACCCTTTTAAAATTGATTTTTTTTCATTTCACAACACGCTTTGCATTGAAACATTTAATTTGATTATCAACTGGTTTGAATCTTGATAATGACCCACAAAATTTTACTTGCTAAATTTTCTGTTCATCACATTTTTATACCGACCGGACTTGCTTTTAAATTTTAAACAGCAGTTTCGATAAAAGATTGGTTAACTATCGATGTTAGGAAATATTTTTATTAATCGATTTGCAATAAATCGAGTTTAAAAAATCGAGTAGTCGTTTTCAGTGGCAACTTTGTTGACATTAATGTCAAATGCGGTCTGCTAGGCGTCTAAAGTAAATTGGATTTTGGGCGATTATTACAGATTTTTATTTTGGAATTCCACCATTTATTCAAATTGAATTAAATTCAAAATAAGTTCAACAAGGCAAGTAGAACAGAAGCCAATATATGGAACATTGGTAATAGGCGTCGCACCTATCCGGATCAGCACGTCGATAGACGCTCAGCGATCGTAGCTGAGAATTGCGTTACATACCTATATCAGCAGTATTCCACAGCATTCAGTTGATCTACGCTATCGGAATAATTTTTTCTGTGCATGACTAAATACTGAAAAGCTTTAACTATGCCAGTTATGCGCCTTTGTATCGCGGGTTGTCCATCGCTTGGGATACCAATATACGCCTTTCCTCCGGAAAATGAGCCAGACAGGTAGTTATTTAATTTAAGAATGTGCAAAAATCAGTATATAATCTTCCTCTTGCTTTAATTTAGACGCAACAAATGGTTCCGAATGTTCAACTTAAATCCAGCGTTATATGAAAATAAAACTGTTCATATATGTCGCCGTCATTTCAGTAATAGAATGACACAATCAAAAACACTTCCTAAAAATGCCTATCCCGATATAAATTTATATATGTACAATGAACGTGCCCCGTACGTTGAGAAATACAGTGTCTATTGGAAAAACGGTGACCGACCGCCAGGAGAGGACCAAGTAATGGCTATTGACGTTTCGGAAAGTGGGGAAAATATATCTTATGAAATGCCAGGGACTGAATTATCTGATGTTATCGAAGTTGATGAAGTAGTTGTGCCGCAAGAAGGTGGTATGTCAACATCAGCAGTATCTCTCCAATATTTTCCACCCCTTGTAAAACATCAAAAACGGCAATGCATACTGAATTGCCCCGACGGCCGTAATTTCCATAATTTCCCATCGCTAGAATTAGAGCCGGAAAGGCGTAAACAATGGCTTTATTTACTTGCCAAGGATCCTGATTTATATCCACATAAGTATCTTTATCTTTGTGATAGACATTTCGACTTGCACATGCGGGGCAGGGCAAAGCTGATGCGGGGAGCTTATCCAAATAAAAATCTACCACCACCATTACAAACGCCGATACCACAAGATTTGGAGGGAAAGACGGAATGTATTCAAAAATGTAGTGAATACCACAGAAAGTACCGGTTTCCATCGTTCGAACAGGAAACCGAAAGGTAAAGTTTACATTTTGTTTCCGAAATAATTTTTCTTCCTAAATAGTTATTTATGTTTTACAGATTTAAATTCTTAACAAAAAAAACTACATACAGTCAGTCAATAAAGTTTAAGGGCAGCGAGCTTTTTGCAATACCAGTAAATATTTTTTTAATATTTTATTTTTCGCCAATTTTTTATAAAAATATGGTTAACTCTACAACAAAAACCCTAAAAATCAGAGTTCCAAACCTTATGCAAAAGTAAAGAAAATTCTGCAAATTTTCATCCAAATATTGCACTTTTTATTTATATTCTTTAGAAAAAAGTTTAGTACGCAGTTTTTAAGCCCATTCTATTTCAGTATAACAAAGTGCAAGCTTGAGGTAGCTAGGACTTGCCATTGATTTTTAGCATTTTTTTTTTTTTGTTGAAGGTGTCGTTCATTTTCTCCGTATAATTTAATAATTTGATAATTGAATGGGTTGAAGAACTGCATACTCAAGTTTTTTCTAGAGAGCGTAAATAAAAAGTGCAATATTTTAATGAAATTTCGCAGAATTTTCTTAATTTTGCACAAGGTTTGGAACTCTGACTGTGGTTTTTGTTGTAGAATTAACCATATTTTTATAAGAAATAGCGACAAATAAAATATTTAAAAAATAGTTCCCCGTATTGTAAATAACTCGCTATACCTAGATTTATTGACTGACTGTATATTAATAAAATAAAATTAATTTTAAAATAAAAATTTTTAAAATGTTGATTTAGGCTAAATAAGTGTATATATTATATTTTCAGGAGAATAATGTGGTTTAAAAAATTTGGACGGGATCCAAAAAAATATAACGACGACGTCTACGCTTGCGACAGCCATTTTGGCGACGAAATGCGAATCGGTCCATATCTGCGACGGGAGGCCGTACCAAATAAAAATCTAAGACCCGCTGCTGCATTCGCAAAAGTTAAAAAATGGTCTTTACAAAAATTGGATGCACTATCTAATTTCCCAACACTTACTTCACCCACCCATACACCCGAGCCCCACATCCATCAAATGACCACCACGGCGCTGCCAACGGCTAACGAATCGCAGAACATTGTCAACAATCTTAGTCATATATTGGTAAATACGACTGTAAAGTTGCCGGTGGAAAATGACAACGTTCTTAATCAAGTCAATCAGCAAAAGTTGTCTGCTCAACGGTCTAAAAATGATAATATCCTTAATCGTATAAATATGACCATATTGCCGCCTAGCAATCAACCCGAGGACGCACCGTCGCCTGTACAATACGTAAAAATGCATACAGTGGGTGTATTTGTGCCACGGCGTACCGGTTATTTAGTTTCGGTGGATAAAATTTTAAGCGCTGAGGATCCGCTAGATGTCAACAAGCATATGCCGTATGATTATGTGAGGCCATGTGATCCCGAGTTGAACATTAATGTACATACAATATTTAAAGAGGACTATGGAGATTTCAGTAGCGATGAGGAGGAGGCCGATAAGGAAACGCCGGATGATGTAGAAGTAGACAAAAGTGATACTGAAAGTGCAGAAGAAATTGAAGACTGTGCAAGCGACGAATATGAGCAAATACCTACGAAAAGAAGAAGAGATGATGTAAACTATGAAGTGGAAGAAGAATATGAGCTTTGGCGAAGCAATGCAGTAGAAAATGAAGCTGGATTAAGGGATGATTCTGTTTTAGAACAGCTGGCAACAAAATACCCCACTGAAAGTTTTTCCATATTGCTTAGCAAAGATAATAAAGTGGTCGAATATAGAAAAGATGCGGTAGATCATGCAAATAACGAAGGAGATATAATAACACCTGATGAGCCTGTGGTCATATCCGACGAAGAAGAGCCAACTACAGTTGCAAGTAAAAGAGCAGACAATGGAAGTTTTATTTCTACGACTGACGGGTTCAGACTATCCAGCCAAAGGATATCATTTCCGCAGCATTCCAAAACCGATTTTGCTAACACTTTTCTGAAGCAACGACAGCAGCAGAAACCTAACAACAATTTTTTGACAAAGGAAGTAGCGTTAGCTAAAAGTTGGCAGCAAGTGATAGAAACCATAGATAAGGAGCTCATTTCTAGCACTGTAAAGGAGAACGCAACCGAAGCCAGCACAACGGTGCCAAACCAAACGATAGGCAAGGCAAATGCAGAAAAAAATTTCCAGATAGAAAAAGTTAAGTCCACGGTAGCGGCAGGTTCAACAAATATTACAAGAAATATTGTTGGTGGAGGAGTAGCAGCAGCAGCAGCAGTTCAAGGAGCAAAACAAGTGTTAAGACGCGTGAACACCACTGATGCAATTACCAAAACCACGACTATCGATTTGATTGATCTTTTAAAACCTAAAGCTGCTCGCAATAGTTGTATTCTCAAGTGTGAAAGCTTTCGTAAACTTTACGCTTTTCCATCGGCCGCAACAGAGAAATATCGTCGTCACTTTTGGTTTCTTGAGCTCGGCTTAAACATTAAAAGTGATTGGTACAAGTCCTTATACATTTGTGATAAACACTTTGCAGATAATATGCTGATTGAAGATAAGCTACACAAATACGCATACCCCAGCAAATCAACAAAATACCAATTAAATACTATGCGCATGGAGGCAAGCACACAAACCGAAGATGTCGCTGAATGGAAAGGTTACACAGCATTATTGCGAGAATTAACCGAATTGGCGGAGTTGGATAAACAGCAAGACAGGGTGGTAATACGTACTAAATTTTTAATTCGACTCAAGCAGGAAGCGTCACGTTTGGTAGCAGAAATTCAAAATGCCGATGAAGATGAGGATGTTAGTTAAAAAAGAGATTTACACCCAAATGCAGTTTTTCAGTGCACGGCCGTTGTCAGCCAGCTGTTCAATTTAAACTCGGTTTACTTAATCTAAGTTTAAACTGGAACTAAAAACTGGCCCTAAGAGGACAACTCCAAAAAAAGCTTTTCGGGCATTCGGAGCTTTTCAGGATTTCAGAAATATCTGAATTGTGTAGCTGAAAGCCTCTGAAAAGCTTGTTGTGGAGTTGTACTCTAAATGCTTTGTAAATCACTTTATAAAGCTCTGTAAATAAATTTTTTTGAATAAGGCCATTAGTAGTCTGGAATTGGGTACAAGGTGTTGCGCACGGTATTGTATAACGTTGGCATCATTAAAATAAGCACTATGCGGTAGTTTAAAGTTTTCTCTAGTGAGAGCAAACAATGAATAAAAAAGTGAAGTATGAAATGCTTTCCGAATTTGTCTATAAAAAAAAACTTATAAAACGCGTACCGGTTAAGTTATTACACAATTTTTTTTTTATATGGATAT